GGGACAAGTAACGGGAGCTCACTCCATTACACAGCACTAGGGATTCAAACTGCTGAACTGCCGACCTTCGGATCGACAAGCTCAGCACCTTAGCCACTGAGCCACCGCGTTCCTCATGTAAGTATATCCTCCCCTAATAAATTCATACAGTGAAGAGAATAAAATCTATGTATCAAAAGATGATCGCAACCTAGTGGCAATGAATTTCATATATTCTTAGGATTGGTTACCGAAGGCTCACTTTTTAACAGACACAGGTAGGAACTGTAGCTCGGGGGAAAACCTATTCCTTTAAATAGCTTGTTAGTTGGATAAGATGCTATCAGACCCGAGGTTTTGCCAGCGTGCATTAAACAACGCTCTCCTATTGCAAGGTGGGGGGCGAGTGAAAGTGGGGTAGTAAGTGCTCTAATTCTTCCTCTATACTCCCAATCCTTCCCCGGCTGTCATAGCAGCTGGAACTGGGCTTTGAGTAAACCCAGTGTCTTTTGTGCTCCTTAGACTCATCCCGGTAACCTTCCCCAACAAACGGTGCCTTGATTTCATTCGCAAACGACCGCGACCCTCCCAAGGCGCACGACGAGCTCTGACAGGCAGCAAAGGGTTAAAAAAAAGCCTCCCAGCCAGCCCGCTATCCCCAAAAGATAACAACAAACCCACCTTCAAAGTCAGGGAAACCCCAGGAAAGGAAGGTCACAAACGGTTGATTGTAGAGTAAGGATGCCGCAAGGGTTGCTGGGCACGGAAACAGCGTCTGCCTAGAACGGCTCTTCATCCGGCTTCGGCCGCCTATAGCACCCCCTGTTCAGGAGGACCACGCTAAAAGAGTCGCTTCCCGCCCCGCAATGACTGTACGTTGCCGGAACCTTGCCAAGAAATCTTGGTCTGGCTTGTTTTCCCGCAGATCTTCTGAATAGCAGGGGCAATTTGAGGCACGGACACCGATGTGCAAGGAAGTTCTGTTCTTTCGGTTTTTCCACGGGCAGGAGCATTAGCTGCCACTTGAGTTTAGACAAATACGCTTACGATTTCGGTTAAATTCAGTGCGCAGAAAGAAATAAGACTGCCAAATTCAATAGAGTATATCAAAGAGAGGTTGAAATACCAAAGACGCTACTAGGCGGATTAATTCCGTTTTATTTTATTAATTGACGCTATATTTTAAGTCGACTTGATTAGGATCGGCTGCTCTTATGGGTAACGCTTTGTATAGTCTGCTTTGTCTCTGATAATTCATACTGGACTAAAACTTCTGATTTTCTTCGAATGACAAGCTCATATACATTCAGTGTAACTCTCCTTCCAAAAATATACATAGTCTTTGTTTCGGCTTACATTTACAATCAAAGCTTAAAGTATACTCTTTCCACTTCAAGAGTATGCCATAATGATTTCAATAGAATTTATTCCTAAGTAAAAATGTACAAACTTACTATCTTAAATCGTCACTGTTCTCTTAAAGCAGTGTAGGAAGTTATCACCCAGCCCTCTCCCAGAAAAATGAAATATCCTAGGAAATATTGAAAAGGCAGAATATTTCTCTGCATGTGAAAAGAAAGAAACATGTTTTAAAAGGCAGAATAGCTCTGTAGCTTCCTGCCCATCCCCACTTTGTCAATGGGCCATTAAGAAGGCCAAGCCAGTCCCTTTACATAATAAAGACTTCTCCACTTCAGCTCCAGGGGATGGGATTAAGTCATAATATTGGCACTTTACCCAACTCACCACATGGCATCTGAGAACTCAACCAAACCTGGATTCAAAACACAGCCTAGAGAGTTGCCCCTGTATGGCCCCATGGGAGTCTGACAACCAATCAGAATGCAAGCTTAAGATCAAAGGCCAGAGAGGGCATAAAACCAGGGACTCAGCATCTCAGTCCTCCCTTCTCTTCTCCACCAACATTGAAGCATGTGATCATCTTTTCTGTTCAGGACTCAAGCCATGTGGTCCTGTCCACCATTAAAACCATCTTTCCAAGCAGCCTCCATGTCTCCGGTGTCTTTTTCCCCACTTAGAGCCTAACCCAGAAGGACATTTCTTTCATCAGCAGCAAGTGGTTAAAATTTTTGTAAAACCACTCAGTATTCACAATTAAGAATTGCAGCTTTGTAGTAATATGGAATGACCTCAAAATAGAACTTTCTTTACAACATAAACTGCATATATTATTAGGAATGGAAGAAATTCGTTCTTCAACTTGATCACATTCTGGTTTACTGGAAATTAATAGCTAAAGGGAAAATTATGACAGTTTCAGTCGAATCCAGCATCAGATCAGGAAAGATCCTTCATAAACTAAATGTCTTTTTTATACCATGATGATTTATTCTGCCATATCTCGGTATTAAGAATGGTTTAATATGGCAGAATAAATAATCCTAGTCAACTATCACTAACCATGCTGGTTTTAACATTAGGATTGTCCACACTTCCAGAAAGCCCCAGGTTATAGAACAAAACAAATAAACATTGCACATTGTCTTTAAAATCATATGTGGTTTGACTTTCAATCGGATTTACCTCTGTATAAGCATGCATAACATAAAATGCAGATTCATAAATCTCTTTTAAGCTCACTTGCTATACTTTCAATTTACCCATGTAAGAGCTCATTTTATCATAAATCTGCAGGTTAGTTATAGATCTGACAGATTGCAGGATGTCTGGTTTGGCAGGTGAATATTACATAGCAGGGGAGGCGTGTCTGTTGAATTTATTTCAGCTGTTTTTTGTTTTGTTTTTTTAATTTCAAAATTTATATGCCGCCCAATCCCGAAGGACTCCGGGCGGCTTACAAAAAACAAGAAAAAAAAGAGAAAGAAAAAACAAGAAAACAAAGACAGTTTAAAATCACAAAACCACAAGCATTCATTCTAATTGGGGCTGGACCTCAACAATGAGGTCAACAGCCCCAGGCCTGCTGGAACAGCCAGGTTTTTACAGCTTTCCTGAAGGCCATGAGAGTGGGTATGGTCCGGATCTCTGGGGGTAGCTGATTCCAAAGAGTCGGAGCAGCCACAGAGAAGGCTCTCCTCCGGGGGCCCGCCAGCCGACACTGTCTGGCTGACGGCATCTGAAGGAGGCCCAATCTGTGGGATCTTACTGGCCGCTAGGAGATATGTGGCAGTAGGCGGTCTCGAAGGTATGCTGGCCCTAAGCCATGTAGGGCTTTAAAGGTAATAACCAACACCTTGAATTGTGTTCCGAGCTGTTGAGAGATGTTGCTGAGAATTTGAGGCTTATATTAAATCCAGATAGTTAACAATAAAAGATAGGACTCAATTTTAAACTGTAATTCTGATCTTATTGAAGGGGATTTATGGGCTAGTTTTATATGTTTTGTGAAGTTTTATAGACCATCATTTTTGAAATGCATTGTTAAGCTGTATTCATTGCAAAACACCAACTCATGATTAACTGAACCAGAGTTCATTATTTTAACTGGGTTTGTATCATCAGAGATGGTATTCTATTGGTTCGGACCGGTTTGCCTGAAGCAGAAATCGCAGGTGGCCCTGCCTACCTGCCCCGGTTCTATGGTATCACATTTAGGCCCCTTTTTCGCCAAAAGCGCATGCGCGGAAGGCTGTGCGTGCGCTCACATTTGTGAACCGGTAGGGAAAGTGTTAGGACCAGAGCTACAATTTGTCTGATCAGCAACCTCGGAATATGATCCAAAAAGCTCCATCTAAATGCAATATAAACATCCCCAAAATCTCTTTTTCTGCTGTTTTCATGTTACAGGTGATCCTCAATTTAAAACTACAACTGAGACCAGAATTTCCATTGTTAAGCAAGGCAGTTGTTAAGTGAGTCACATCC